CACATTCCTCCTGAGTATGCCGATTTGGCAAGCGCCTTCTGTAAGAAGAAGGCGACTCAATTACCACCTCATCGACAGGGGGATTGTGCGATAGACCTCCAGGTTGGCGCGGCACTCCCTCGCAGCCATGTGTATCCTCTGTCTCAGGAGGAGACGGCTGCTATGGAGACATACGTCGCCGAATCCTTGAGACAGGGATACATACAGCCTTCCACTTCTCCTGCGTCCTCAAGTTTCTTTTTTGTGAAGAAGAAGGATGGGGGTTTACGCCCGTGTATTGATTACCGTGGTCTCAATCAGATCACTATTAAATACAGCTATCCTCTCCCTCTGATTGCTAGCATGACGGAGTTATTACACGGGGCGCGCTTCTTCACAAAATTGGATCTCAGGAGCGCTTACAACCTGGTGCGCATTCGGGAGGGAGATGAGTGGAAAACAGCCTTCAGTACCACCTCGGGTCACTATGATGCCATACGGTCTAATGAATGCTCCTTCAGTCTTCCAATCATTTGTAGACAAGATTTTCCGGGATTTGCATGGACAGGGGTTAGTGGTGTATATTGATGACATTCTGATATACTCCGCTACACGTACCGAGCATGTGTCCCTGGTACGTCGGGTGCTGGGTAGACTGTTGGAGCATGATCTGTATGTGAAGGCAGAGAAATGTCTGTTTTTCCAGGAGTCCATCTCCTTCCTGGGACACCGGTTGTCTGCGTCAGGGGTGGAGATGGAGATTGACCGCGTTTCAGCCGTGCGTAATTGGCAGACTCCAACTACAGTAAAGGAGGTGCAGCGGTTTTGGGGTTTTGCCAATTACTACCGGAAGTTTATCCGGGGTTTTGGACAGGTAGCGGCTCCCATTACCTCCCTGCTAAAGGGGGGCCCGGTGCGTTTGCAGTGGTCGGCTGAGGCGGACAGGGCGTTTAGTCATTTGAAGGACCTGTTCACCTCAGCTCCGGTGCTGGCACATCCGGATCCCTCTTTGGCGTTCCAAGTCGAGGTGGATGCGTCCGAGGCGGGGATCGGTGCTATACTGTCTCAGCGCTCGGGCACGCCTCCAAAACTCCGCCCCTGTGCTTTCTATTCTAAGAAGCTCAGTCTGGCGGAGCGCAATTATGACGTGGGGGACAGGGAGCTGCTAGCTGTGGTCCAGGCCCTGAAGGTGTGGAGACATTGGCTTGAGGGGGCTAACCACCCTTTTCTCATTCTGACTGACCATCGTAACCTGGAGTACATCCGGGCAGCGAAGAGACTGAACCCTCGTCAGGCTAGGTGGGCCATATTTCTGGCCCGGTTTGTCTTTAAGATCACGTATATCCCCGGGTCACAGAACGTTAAGGCAGACGCCCTGTCCCGACGATATGACACAGAGGAGAGGTCCATTGAGCCCACTCCCATACTACCGGAGTCTTGTCTCGTGGCACCGGTGGTGTGGGAGGTCGACACGGAAATCGAGCGGGCGTTACGTACCGACCCATCTCCCCCAAAGTGTCCAGAGGGATGGAGGTACGTGCCGCTCGAGGTCCATGAGGTCCTCGAGGTCACACGTCACCCTCCTCTGGTCATCCTGGTATTGGTCGGACGGTGCACTGTCTTAGCGGGAAGTACTGGTGGCCCACCTTAGCTAAGGACGTGAGAGTTTACGTTTCTTCCTGCTCGGTGTGCGCCCAGTGTAAGGCGCCTAGACACCTGCCCAGGGAGAAGTTACAACCTCTCCCCGTTCCACAACGGCCGTGGTCTCACCTGTCGGTGGATTTTGTCACGGACCTTCCCCCCTCCCAGGGGAATACCACGATCTTGGTCGTTGTGGATCGGTTTTCTAAGGCCTGCCGTCTCATCCCTATGCCAGGTCTTCCTACAGCCCTACAAACGGCCGAAGCCCTGTTTACTCACGTTTTCCGGCACTACGGGGTGCCTGAGGATATAGAGTCTGATCGGGGTCCCCAGTTCACCTCTAGAGTGTGGAGGGCATTTATGGAACGTTTGGGGATCTCGATCAGCCTTACCTCGGGTTTTCACCCTGAGAGTAATGGGCAGGTGGAGAGAGTAAACCAAGATGTGGGTAGGTTTCTGAGGTCCTACTGCCAGGACCGGCAGGAGGAGTGGTCGGGGTATATTCCCTGGGCAGAGATAGCCCAAAACTCACTCCGCCACTCCTCCACTAATCTCACTCCTTTCCAGTGTGTGTTGGGCTATCAGCCGGTTCTGGCACCCTGGCATCAGAGCCAGATCGAGGCTCCTGCGGTGGAGACATGGAACGCTGCGCACGTCCATCTGCAGCGGGCCATCAGACGGCAAAAGGCGAGCGCCGATCGCCACCGCAGTGAGGGTCCGGTTTATGCACCGGGAGATCGGGTCTGGCTCTCGACCAGAAACCTGCCCCTTCACCTGCCCTGCCGGAAGCTGGGCCGGCGGTTTGTGGGGCCATTTAAAGTCCTGAGGAGATTGAACGAGGTATGTTATAGGTTACAGCTGCCTGTTAATTATCGCATTAACCCCTCGTTCCATGTGTCTCTCCTCAGGCTGGTGGTAGCTGGTCCACTCCAGGAGAATGAGGTACGAGAGGCCCCTCCGCCCCCACTTGACATCGAAGGGGCTCCGGCGTACTCAGTCCGTTCCATCGTGGATTCGAGGCGTCGGATGGGGGGTCTGCAGTATCTCGTGGAGTGGGAGGGGTACGGTCCAGAGGAACGGTGCTGGGTCCCTAGGAGGGACATCCTAGATCCCTCCCTGTTGACAGAGTTCCACCGGAGTCACCCAACTCGCCCTGGTCCGCGTCCTCCTGGCCGTCCCCGAGGCCGGGGTCGGCGCACGGCTGAAGCCGCGCGTCAAGGGGGTGGGTACTGTCACGGATTCTGCCGAGGCTGCTCCTCCTCCTTGCTCGGGCAGGCTTCGGCGTTCGTCGTCCCCGGAGTACTAGCTACTGCCGTTTGATGTTATCGGTGTTTGTTTAGTTTTGTCTGTATTGTTTACACCTGTTCGTCATTATGTTAATTGTTTCCCTTATAATTACCCCTGTCTCTCATCTGTACTTTGTGTGTGATTGTTTTCCCCTTCACGGTTGTCTATTTTGTGAGCGGGTTATTTCCTCCCTGCGTGGAGTTATTTTCTGTGTCCTTTTGGATCCTTTTCGTATTAAAAGTACGTATCCGAGAGTTCTGTGTCCTGTGCCTGACTTCGTTTACCGCATCTCACAGACAGTCGTGACACCCTATTTGTTACTGATCAAACCAGCAAGGATAGATCAGAAAAACTTTCCTAGACTTTATATGGAACAATAAACACAAACTTAAGAAATCTGTAATGTCAAACAAAATAGCTGATGGTGGGCTTGAAGTACTACATTTAATTGATATCAACAATACATTTAAAGTAAACTGGCAAAAAATATGTATGCTTATCTCTGAATCTGTGGTACTTCATTTCTTGTCATATTTAAGAAATTGGGTGGTCTTCAAAATTATCCAGCAAAATTACCAGTCAAACTGTCCAAATTTCACAAACAAGCCCTTTTAGCCTGGAAACTACAGTGGCTTGCGAAAGTATTTTTCCTATTTTGTTGCCTTACAACCTGGAATTAAAATTGATTTTTGGGGGGTTTGTATCATTTGATTTACACAACATGCCTACCGCTTTGAAGATGCTAAATATTTTTTATTGTGAAACAAACAAGAAATAAGACAAAAAAACAGAAAACTTGAGCGTGCATAACTATTCATCCCCCCAAACTCAATACTTTGTAGAGTCACCTTTTGCAGCAATTACAGCTGCAAGTCTCTTGGGGTATATCTATATAAGCTTGGCACATCAAGCCACTGGGATTTTTGCCCATTCTTCAAGGCAAAACTGCTCCAGCTCCTTCAAGTTGGATGGGTTCCGCTGGTGTACAGCAATCTTTAAGTCATACCACAGATTCTCAATTGGATTGAGGTCTGGGCTTTTAAATTTAACATTTAAATGTTCCCCTTAAACCTTAAAAAAACTGTGAGGTAGAAAGGACTGTCAACACATACTGAACAGCTCACGTTATAGACAGAAGCATACTACATGGCAGACCAATCCAAACTCATCTCCCGGCGTGTCCAGCCCATACATTATCTCAGCCAATCATGGCTAGTTGGAAGGATCCTGTCTTTTTCGATGGCTAAACCAACTAGGCTCGTAAATGAACAATTTTATATGTATTTATGGATGGAGTACAAGTTTGTTATTAAGGCACATGTTCTAGAAGGCATTTCTGCTAAAAAACGCATTTTGATAAAAAAATAAATGTTTACATTCAAATGCTGCTCCTGTGAAATAGTGACGTGCGACATTCGCCTAGCTTCCTGAAACGAGTCACATATCTACCCATTGATTCCTGGAGAATATAACTTATAAATGCCTCATGAGCTTAGTTCAACTGTTGTACCCCGTCAGAACCCAAAATATATTTGTAAACAAAATAAATGTAAACAAATACTTTGTAGGAGGGGTGTCAAACTCATTCCACGGAGGGCCAAGTGTCTGCTGGTTTTTGGTTTCTCTTTTCAATGTTTGTCCAGTTAAGACTTATATAGACCCGGCACCAGGATAAAGTGGGCAGTTGAAATCGGTGAGGGGGCACAATTTTGGGGGGTTATTGCATTGGAATTATATTGAATTCTGCTTATATCACCACAATAGTAATTTTTGAAGTGACAGGTTAGCCCGAAATCTGTGGCCTATCTCCGCTGCTCCTGTATCAGCACAATGGACAGCGCCCTACACACTAAAGCAAGGCTGTTTTGGTAATGAATATAGGCTACAAGATAGATAGGGTAATTCACCTATTACAAACAGCCTATGTGAATGCATCCATACACAGAGCTGTCTTAACCAAAGTAACGGAACTAAATGCTGTAGCCTAGTTATTGGAATGATATAGAATTGGGATCAGGGCCGGCCCTCCCATTAGGCTATGACGGCACTTGAATTTGGGTTGCCATTTTGACAATTGGCTGCTGCCCTCCAGTGCCCCTGATCGGCTGCTACATCGCCGACGGCACCCCAGCCACAAGCTCATAGCATTGCTGCAGTTCCCGCCCTCACCCCATTCCCGCTTCTCCCGAAGTTCACTCCCACTGTCCTTGGTAGCTATGGTGATGTGTGTGTTTATATGGGATTATCCAATTGTGAAACATTGATAAAAATGAATCTGCCAATTAAATGATTGTTTAGTTTTTTATGTTTGTGTATGATGAAGATGATTAGTGATTAAGGCAGTAGACTAACCTAGTCTGTTAATGTTAGCTAGCTACTGCTAGTGGATATAATTTTAGCTAAAAGTAAGCTATAGAGATTTGAAACAATTTGCTACCATGTCTAAGAGACAAAAACTATCAGGAAGTGAATATAAAAAAAAAACGAATGAGAAAAGAGGCTATCAGTCTCTAAACCAAAGAAATTCGCTGGTGAAATGTATCAGCGTGCAGCAATGTTCATCAGCCAGTGTGGAGAATGACAAGGCTCCGAGGACAGGCCATTCATTCGCAGAGAACAACGAGCCCCCGTTCGCTGATTCTACCAGCGAAGAGGGCAAACCGGAGGAGTCCGAGCCATGCACTTCCACTGATGATGACAGCTCTCTAGCTGGACAAGAACAGGTGGTTGCACCAGGCCTAGCCACACCTCCCAACAATGCCGGTGAAGACCCTACTATCTTGGACCCGGACTCAGATTCGTCGCTCTTCGTCCCCGATGACAGTGGTGGTGCTGCTGCTAAATCCAACTCCCAGACAAAAAACATAAAAGATCCCGATGAGTGGCCAAAATGTATGAATAGATTTTTACGGGATATGTTTGTGCAGGCTGGGCCACATCAGGATAAAGAGGGGAATTTCCCAAGAGATGAGGGGCAACAAAAGTTTTCGGTGGCCCACTACAATAGGAGGATTGCGAACAGGGAGAGAGTGGAGAGACCATGGCTTGTCTATTCCAAGCAAAACGATGGAGCCTTCTGTTTTTGCTGCAAATCTGCGCTGGTCAGGGATGGAACCAGGGACTGGAAGAATCTGTGCCACCTCCTCAGCTCGCATGAGAAGTCGCATGACCACCTAGATAGTTTCCAAAGGTGGAAGGAGCTGGAGATCAGGCTGGTGTCCAAGCAAACTATCGATGCCCAAGCCCAACGGGCTATTGATGGAGAGACTCTCCACTGGCAGCAGGTGCTGCAGAGGCTCATAGCCCTGATACGTTTAATGGCCACCCAGAACATTGCGTTACGTGGGACCACCGATTGGCTGAACGAGCCAAATAATGGGAAGTTTCTGAAGTTTGTGGAAATGCTGGGTATCTTTGATAGAATCATGAAGGAGCATGTAAGGAGAGTACAGTCCAAAGAAACACATGTGCACTACCTCGGTAAAAGAATAGTCCAGAACGAAATCATTGACATGCTGGCACAAGAGATCCAGCAGACAGTGTGCAGTGATCTAAAAGCAGCCAAATATTTTTCTATAAATTGGACTGCATTCCAGACAAGAGCAAAACAGAGCAGATGACCATGGTGGTGCATTTTTTTTTCAACCGAGGATGATGGGTCAGTGCGCACGTGAGCGCACTTCCTGGAGTTTAGTGAACTGCTTAACGCAATGGGGGCATCACCATCATGGACATGAGAGGGCAGGGATATGACAACGGGGCGAATATGCAGGGGAGACATAGCGGAGTTCAAAAGAGAGGATATCAACCCGAGGGCCTTTTTTGTGCCATGCAGCGCGCACTCGCTGAACCTGGTTCTCTCTGATGCAGCATCGTGCTGCTTGGAGGCGGCTGAGTTTTTTTTAACAACATCCAAGATATTTATACATTTGTACAAGGTTGGAGGCAAACAGCATTGCCGCCAAGATGAACAACTTTGGCTTCATGTGCGCAGTGGTCGTTTGGCATGACATCTTGTTCGAAGTGAACATCACCAGTAAGAGTTTACAGGCGGTGAGTTTTAGCATTTCACTAGCAGTGGAGTACATATCCAGACACCCAATGGCCTCCTTGTATCCTAATGCCTTTGTTGCCCTGAGAGTTCTTCTCACACTCCCGGTGACAGTGGCAAGTGGAGAGCGCACATTCTCCAAGCTCAAACTCAAAAACTACCTGCGCTCTACTATGAGTCAAGAGAGACTGAATGGACTCGCCACCATATCAATTGAGCACGAGTTGTCTTACAAAATCAACCTCCAACAAGCAGTGCATGCTTTTGCTGCCAGGAAGGCCAGGCGAGTCAACTTGTCTTTGAATAAAAGGTAAGCGTTGATCATACACTCACATTAATTTGTAAGATTACTCAATTATCTATCACCTGTTTACTTTGTATTTTTTATTTATTTAATTAGACTACATCCTAATCTCGCTCTCTCACTCTCTTTCTCTCTCTCCCCCCTCTCTCTCTGTCTCTCTCAGATTATTTGATTTCAGGATCATGGACAGCTACCGAGAGAAAACAACGCTGACTGCAGAGGAAAGAGGCCACTCTAGGTGGAGACTAAATAAATAAATGCTGAAACTGATTTTGGACAATCAAATTCGTTATGTAAATAAACAACATTCGTTGAGGCTGGGTCATTGACATAAAGCTTATTTTACACTGCTCCAGCGAAACGAGGCCCGCCATGCATTTATGAAAGCACTTGTTTCTAAAGCTTAAATTATCTCATTCTTTTTTACAGTTCTACAGGAATATTAAAATATATGTTAAATATGTTATATAATAGTGTTATTTTTATTGTAATTGTAAAAATTATGGGATCGTGCCATGTGGGATAACAGGTGGTATATTATTAATAAGAAACTTGGTTTCCTTCTATAGGTAGTTGGCTGCAAAGTGATAGCAACATTGTAACTCTCCGATGCAGGGGTTAAAGTAAAATTCCCTTCTGCCTGGTAAGGGACCTCCTAAATTATATGTGCATGCACCAACATTTTTTATGGGCATAATAATAGAATTACATATATTATTGGAGCCTATTTCTTCCTATTCCAAAAACTAAGTGGTAAGCCTACCTGTTTGACAGACACAATTATGCTATCCATAGATGTTGGTATAGCCAAATACTCCAATACTGTCGCATGCACTGATTAAATACCTCGGTGCCTGGGAAGGGCTTGGTGTGTTTGGTTAAAACCAGGGCTCGAATTGAGTGAGGGTATCAAATACACTTTGTTAAAGAAAAGGGCAAAAAGGATATATATTGTTTGCTTTATATTTTGAAATAAATGCATAAAACGTATCCAAATTATATCAAGCGTTCTATAAGGATGCTTAACTCGATGATGCCTTATGGTAGAAACAAGCTCTAAAAGACTTGACTCCGATGCATATGGGGATATATTGATTCCTCTCTATGACATTCTGAAGCTGAGCTGCAGCCTATAATATTCGAGGAGATAATTTGTTTAAACCCAGGCAGCTGTCACACCCTGGCTCTGGGGACTCTTATATGTTGAGCCAGGGTGTGTAGGGTCTATGTTTTGTGTTCTATGTTCAGTTTCTAGTTCATGTGTTTTCTAGGTTGGCCGGGGTGGTTCTCAATCAGAGGCAACGAGAATCAGCTGTTGCTTGTTGTCTCTCATTGGGACCCATACTTAGGCAGCCTGTTGTGCACTTGTGTTTGGTGGGATCTTGTTCCGTGTTGGTTTGTGTTGTTAACCGAGGACTTCACGTTTCGTTTGGTTGTTTTGTATTTTGTATCGTGTTGCCAGTACACTATTAAAAAGATGTACGCATATCACGCTGCGCCTTGGTCCAATCATTATGACGATCGTGACAGCAGCTTTTAGGGAAGCACTTCTGTTGTTGGGTTATACAATGGACGAGCAGCCAGCAGTTGAAGCTTACATTTTTCTGCGTCGGTAGAGCTTCTGTCTGGGTGGAAAGGTAACTTTTGAAAGTGCCATGCTTAGATTCATAAGGATGTCTATGATGTAATTATTTGCAAACAGTGTTGCAAACAAGACACTCTGTTTTGACATTGAGAAATATTAATTTTTTCTCGCCTAGGGCGGCAGAACGTCCAGAGCCGGCCCTGATTGTGATTATATCACACTATACCGCAATAAACATAAAATATCAAATGCCGACACCATTGAGTGCTTTTGACCAATAAGTGACAGGTTTGTGCGAAATCTCCACTATGCTCTATTAGCACTATGGACAGCACCCCACACACTAAAGCAAGGCTTTTGAAAACCTAGGCCTTTACCTTTTTATCTTGTTTCTTTCTTTCTCCATTGTTGCGGCTTTTTCATAACTCTTCTCAAGGTTCGCCTTCAACTCCTTTATACAGTATCTTTACTGACTAGTTCAAGTATGCCCAATTTATCGACTTTAGCAAGTTGGTTTCTACACTTACTGTTCCAGGTGATGGAAAGCATAAATCGTCTGTGTCAGTCGAGGAGTCTCGTTTTCTTTTGGGAATTGGTTCTCCATGCTTACCCTCCGACATGTTTTGGTGTTGACTGTGTTAGTAATATCGGTCGATAAATTTCTCTCGCCTAATAATTTGTTTTGTGTTGTTATTCAGATTGAAGGTTATTGCCCACGAGTATATGAGTATGTGGAGTGAAGTGTTCATATTTAGACAGATTTACAGATATTGAATATTACGTTTTTATCTTCAGGCATTCTGCTCCGCTGTCTTCAGTCCGCCATTGTTCGTAATGACTCTTTTGGGTTTCCATAAAAAGTGATAAAAAAATGCTTCTCATCTGTGGTAGGCTAAGTGAATAACATGATACGCTTCCGCCTGTAATATTTGATTTTGATTTAGAAGGTTGGGGTCAAGTTTACCATGGAAGCTGCTTCACTCAACTCTGCCTCACGCCCCACCAATACAGAGTTTAGTTAGCTAGCTTCTTAGCTATTTGAAAAAAGTGTTAGTGTTATTAGCCTTAGCCTATTTAGCTAGCTTGAAGAAGCTAATCTGCCACTATGGATATCAGAAATTGGTTTCGCCAAAGTACCCAAACAAAGCCAAAGGAGAAGGAGAGCGATGAGCAGCAGCATCAAACCACCGAGGCCGCCGCCAAGCCCAGCAGCGATGATGCTGCCGAGCTCCCACTTGCTCCACGTGCAGAGCCTACCAACTCTTCCACAAGCACCGCCAGGATAATGGCTCTACAGCCCCCTCCACCTCTGACTGTTCCAGACGATCTTGGAACATAGGAACCAGCCCAGGTTAGCCTAGTACATTTACATTTACATTTTAGTCATTTAGCAGACGCTCTTATCCAGAGCGACTTACAGTTAGTGAATACATATATATTTTTTTTATACTGGCCCCCCGTGGGAATCGAACCCACAACCCTGGCGTTGCAAACGCCATGCTCTATCAACTGAGCTACACCCCTGCCGGCCATTCCCTCCCCTACCCTGGACGACGCTGGGCCAATGGTGCGCCGCCCATGAGTCTCCCGGTCGCGGCCGGCTGCGACAGAGCCTGGATTAGTAGGGTTTCTGTCTAAAAACATTCATTTAATAGTAACTGGTTCATTGGAAGAGAGTGGCTGGAATACTCGGTTACTGCAGATGCAGCATTTTGTTTCCCTTGTCAAAAGTTCTGTGTTCGGTCCAATGCTAACGCAGACAAGGCTTTCACCCAAGCTGGGTATTCTAACTGTAAGCGTGCTATTGATAGTACCAAAGGATTCGCTAGACATTATTATTATTATTATTATTATTATTATTATTATTACATGCATCAAGCAAAGTGCATTTGAAATGCACTGCACTGTGGAAAGAAAAACAAGTTCGAAGTGCTATGGGAATATCGGTGTCAACACTTGTTAATGACGGACAGCTGGCAAGAAATTGCATGTATGTGTCGCCGATTGTGGACATTATTGAGTTCCTTGTTTCAAACCAGCAGCCACTGAGGAGGACATTGGACGTGATAGAGTCAAGAAAGGAGGGGGGCAGTGGAGTTTTTCTGTCTATGATGGAATATACTCTCTGAAAAGACAAGGAACTTGCCAAGATGTTTAGCACAAAACCCTACAATACCATATACAGTGGGGAGAACAAGTATTTGATACACTGCCGATTTTGCAGGTTTTCCTACTTACAAAGCATGTAGAGGTCTGTAATTTTTAACATAGGTACACTTCAACTGTGAGAGACGGAATCTAAAACAAAAATCCAGAAAATCACATTGTATGATTTTTAAGTAATTAATTTGCATTTTATTGCGTGACATAAGTATTTGATCACCTACCAACCAGTAAGAATTCCGGCTCTCACAGACCTGTTAGTTTTTTTTAAGAAGCCCTCCTGTTCTCCACTCATTACCTGTATTAACTGCACCTGTTTGAACTCGTTACCTGTATAAAAGACACCTGTCCCCACACTCAATCAAACAGACTCCAACCTCTCCACAATGGCCAAGACCAGAGTGCTGTGTAAGGACATCAGGGTTAAAATTGTAGACCTGCACAAGGCTGGGATCGGCTACAGGACAATAGGCAAGCAGCTTGGTGAGAAGGCAACAACTGTTGGTGCAATTATTAGAAAATGGAAGAAGTTCAAGATGACGGTCAATCATCCTTGGTCTGGGGCTCCATGCAAGATCTCACCTCGTGGGGCATCAATGATCATGAGGAAGGTGAGGGATCAGCCCAGAACTACTCGGCAGGACCTGGTCAATGACCTGAAGAGAGCTGGGACCACAGTCTCAAAGAAAACCATTAGTAACACACTACGCCGTCATGGATTAAAATCCTGCAGCGCACGCAAGGTCCCCCTGCTCAAGCCAGCGCATGTCCAGGCCCGTCTGAAGTTTGCCAATGACCATCTGGATGATCCAGAGGAGGAATGGGAGAAGGTCATGTGGTCTGAAGAGACAAAAATAGAGCTTTTTGGTCTAAACTCCACTCGCCTTGTTTGGAGGAAGAAGAAGGATGAGTACAATCCCAAGAACACCATCCCAACCGTGAAGCATGGAGGTGGAAAAATCATTCTTTGGGGATGCTTTTCTGCAAAGGGGACAGGACGACTGCACCATATTGAGGGGAGGATGGAAGGGGCCATGTATCGCGAGATCTTGGCCAACAACCTCCTTCCCTCAGTAAGAGCATTGAAGATGGCTGGGTCTTCCAGCATGACAACGACCCGAAACACACAGCCAGGGCAACTAAGGAGTGGCTCCGTAAGAAGCATCTCAAGGTCCTGGAGTGGCCTAGCCAGTCTCCAGACCTGAACCCAATAGAAAATCTTTGGAGGGAGCTGAAAGTCCGTATTGCCCAGCGACAGCCCCGAAAACTGAAGGATCTGGAGCTGGAACTGAAGCTCTGTATGGAGGAGTGGGCCAAAGTCCCTGCAGCAGTGTGTGCAAATCTGGTCAAGACCTACAGGAAACGTATGATCTCTGTAATTGCAAACAAAGGTTTCTGTACCAAATATTATGTTCTGCTTTTCTGATGTATCAAATACTTATGTCATGCAATAAAAAGCAAATTAATTACTTTAAAATCATACAATGTGATTTTCTGGATTTTTGT